TGGTTGGAGCATATAAATTTCTTCTTCAAGTTCTCCATGAAGAAATGTAGTTTTCACATCTAACTGCTCCAAGTGTAAGTCAAACGTAGCACACATCGCCAGGACTACTCGAACTGTTGTGAGTCGAACCATAGGAGAAAATATTTCGTTGAAGTCAATGCCTTCTTTCTGAGCATATCCCTTCACTACCAATCTCGCACGATACAGCTCCACTTGATCATTGCCATCTCGTTTGATCTTATATACCAATTTATTCCCAATGGCCTTCCTTCCATGTGATAGTGGAACAAGATTCCATGTCTTGTTCTTATAAAGAGCTTCAATTTCTTCTTGCATTGCAGCCATCCACTAAGAAACTTCTTGGCTATTTATAGCCTCGTGGAAAGTTAATGGCTCTCCATCTTCTGTCAGTAAGCAGTATGCAACATTGCCCTCCATAATATAATCTGAGTGCCAAGCCGATTCTCTTCTCTCTCATGTTGATCGTTGAACATCTGAAGCACTAGATTCAATTTGTTCTTCGTGCTCTAGTGTTGCTTCAGAAGTATCTATAACTTCTCGTTCGTCTCCAACTTTGACTGTAGTAGTCTCTGGTTTTTCTTTTGAAGTGCTATCATTTCCTTTTTCCTGTATTTTGCCTTCTGCAAATATGACATCTCTGTTGATTATCACCTTGTGGGCAGTGGGATCCCACAGGCGGTATCCCTTCACTCCATCAGTATACCTTAAGAAAATACATTTTCTAGATTTTGGATCCAGCTTTGATGTTTCTTAGGTATTGTACATAACGTACACAGGACTTCCAAACACATGTAAGTGAGAATAATCAGCTGGTTTACCAGTCCACATTTCCATAGGCGTCTTCAGACCAATTGCGGTTGATGGCAACCGATTGATCACATAACAGGCGGTTTTGACTGCTACTGCCCAAAATGACTTGGCTAACCCCGCAGTTCTCAACATTGCCCTTGTTCTTTCTAACAATGTTCTGTTCATCCGCTCTGCCACTCCATTTTGCTGTGGAGTGTATGCCACAGTGAACTGTCTCTTGATACCTTTTAGTTGACAGAAGTTATCAAATTCATCACCGATATATTCTCCTCCGTTGTCAGTCCTCAGACAATTGATCTTCTTTTCAGATTCAAGCTCCACACGCGCTTTGAATATTTTGAAGACTACAAACACGTCTGCCTTCCTTTTGATTGGATACACCCAACATCTGCTGAGGTAATCATCAATAAAAGATACAAAGTATCTTGCACCTCCTAGGGATATAACCGGTGCTTGCCAAACATCGGAATGGACTAGCTCCAAGATAGCTTTATTTCTAGCAGTGGAACTGTTGAACTTCAATCTGTACTGCTTACTAGTAACACAATGCTCACAAAAGGGTAATGAAACCTTTTTGAGTCTTGGAAGAAGCTTTTGTTCTGAGAGAATTTTCAAACCACGTTCCGACCTGTGAGCAAGCTCGCGATGCCACATCATCGTTAATTCTTCTGCTGAACCTGTCGATGCGACAGATGCTTCTCCTTCCTGTAG